GTGCCCACGTCCCCCCACATCTTAGTGTCATCAGCAAATTTGAACAGGGTGCTTTTCACCTCCTCGTCCAAATCACTGATGAAGATGTTGAACAGTGCGGGCCCGAGGACCGAGCCCTGTGGGACCCCACTGCCCACGTCCTTCCAAGCTGTTCTTGCTGATGAGCAGACGGGGGCTCATGGAGGCAGACTGAAATCGAGGAAAACTTGGGTACTGAACATAAGAAATGATGCAGCCCCTTCTGTATCCCATCCCCTTGCCTCTTGTAAGGTTGATAAAAGCACTAAGTGCTTTGCTGCCTCCTTATCATAGGCAGGTTCATCTCTTTCCTGCTGCTCTATCCTGACAAGGTGGAGGCTAGCAGGAAAGGAGGGTGGGCATCTCCATCTCAACCACTGAGGTCAAGCAAGGTCCTGTCAGTGACCGCTCCAAGGAACTTTGCTGTCTAGCCTGGATGCAAGGCATGCTCGCTAGCAGGGGGTTCCCTTGTCACAGTGGAGTGGTAACTTTGGAGACCATGGTGCCAGACAGGTCTTTTGGGCCAGACTTGCTGTTGCTGAGGAGGCTTCTCTAATGGTGGGTTGGGGCAGAAACAGGCCAGGGAGTTAATCCGGCATGGGGTGGGCAGCAGGCCCACCCCACCCCGGGGTCCATCATAAGCATTTCATATAATAGGTCACTTTCATGGTTTGGTGTGAGCCCAGTAAGCCAGGAGATGGGCTCATGGATAAATGCTTCAAATAAAATGGAGGGCTGGGACACAGGAAGATGCTGCAGTGAGCATGGGCGGCTCCTGATGTACAGCAATGAGTTCACTTGCTGCAAGGATGTCCCAACCCAGCAGGGCCTGCCATATGGGTAGAACCCTGCCTCTTGTGTGGATCCCTGCTCCTCATGTCAATGACACAGCATCAGGAGCAGAGATCCCCCTGCCCAAAGTGCTGGGCTGGATTGGGACTAAAGTGGGCAATACACATGGCACAGGGCTCTTGGTACCCAGAGTTTTTGCCTGACCAAGGCCCCCTGCAGCAAGGAAACAAAACCCATCTCCTACATCAGCGTATGCACCTTTACCTTTCTTGGTGACGTCCAGCTGGATTTTCACAGTCTTATACAGGTGGCAGTAGTGATGGTGGAGGTTGCAGGAGTAGATGCCTCTGTCACTGTCAGCGAGATCTAGCACAGAAGGATGGGAAAACGACTGTTAACATCAAGCTGACAATTGGTTTAGGTTGTTTATGCACACTAACTTAAATTAGGTTAAACAGGGTCTGGTACAATGAACCGTTCTTGTCAGGTACACTAACTGTCACCTGTATTTGAGTGACAGTTGTAGAGGATGTGGTGCAGAGTGATTAAGGCCTCATACTGCAGCTCCAGAGGCCTGAAAGCCCCTGCAAGAAACCAAGTGCACATGGTAGCATAGATGGGCCAACTGGTACTGTCAGTCCACAAAGCTAGCTAGCTCACTGGAATGGTACAGACTAAACTGCACTGCTTTGGTTCAGGATTAGTGTGTGTGGTGCAGCACGGCAGGTTTGAGGGCCTCACTGCCAGGCAGGGAAAGTTTGCAGAGTGCACATAGCTTAAGACACTCAGAGCGGTTGCAAGAGGAGTTTCTGTTTTAAAATGGACGTCCTTCACGTGTGGTCTAGAAACCTATGTCTCAAATGATAGCATCAGGCTGACATCCCTATTGGAGAGGCTCAGCGAAACAATAGCTCTCAAGTACAGACCCATTCGCTCATGGAGCCGAGCTCTTGCAGAAGCAAAAGGGAAAGAGATGGCTTTGGTTCCTGGTACCTTTGATCACCAGTGAGAAGTTGCCATCTGTGAACGCGTTCTCAGGCATGAATATCCTCCCTTTGTTGTAGGAGCTGTACACTCGCTGCTCCCCAGCTGAGTACATATCACACAGCCTCTCTGACTTGTAATCTCCATAATAGTTGCTGTACAGGTCCCAGTGGACCACGCGCTGGCGGTCATTCAGACGGTCCTGGGTCCAGACCATGCGGTAACTCTTGCAGGGCAGGACAGTCTGGGACCCCGCTGGGGCACTGATGTTTGTCACAGAGACCACAACACTTTCTGGGTTTGATAAGTCAGCTGGGACTGTGAGGCAGGATAGGAGAAAGAGAAAGAGGTGTTATAGGATCATAGGAAAGCAGGGCTGGAAGGGACCTCACAAGGTCATATAGTTCCCCCTACTCAAGGCAGGATCATCCCTTATGGGGTATTTGTTTTAGGGTGGGGAAGCAGGATGTCCTTTATGGATTTTAAGGCAACATCAGTCTTAGCAAAGTAAGCTTCTGATGCACTGATGTGCCTCTAAAGCCCCTCCTGACTCCATATTTGCCTCTCCCCTATTCCCTTCTTTGTTCTAATTCTCTCTTCGCCGACTTAACTTCCCTGCTTGTTATCTTCAGTAAGCAGGGCCCTCTTCCCCCACAGCCTGCCATACAGCTTAACATCAGGCCCACGGTCTGAAGAACTGCATGCTTACATTTGTGCCTGCTAATTCCCACTTGAGTGCTTCAAAGGCCCCGACTTTGGGAAGTGCTGAGCATTTGCAAATCTCCCCCATTCCCTTCCTCCTCCCCCACTGGAAGGCACGATTTTCAAATGGCGTCTAAATTTAGCCCAAAGCATTCTGCCAGCTTCCCAATACCAGAAGGTTCAGAGATCCTTAATGAGAACTATCTGAACAGCATCCAAACGAATCACAGTAAAAATCAACCCTCGGTCTGGACCCCCGTCGTAAGGAAGCACAGATGCTTCACAGGGAGAACTCTAGCCCACAGTTTACACCTATGACTTATCTGATTTCTCTGCCCTTCTTACTCCTGACCTCCAGTTGTACAAAAAGTGGCCTTTCCTCTGCATGGGGCTGAGATCCTGCTCCCGATGAAGTCCACAGTAAAACCCCAATGCATTCAACGAGAGCAGAGTTGGTCCCAACACTTCTAATGATCAAAACCGTAAGGTGGAATAGAAGGATGTCACTTACCGGAGTACAAATGAACAACAGACCCTGTTTAAAAGAGAAGAAAAGACTGTTATTCACAACACAAATGGCTGAAACGTCTTATCTAGAAGCCATCACTCCTTATTACAACCTCCCTTCATTTCTTCTTCATCCGTACTGTAAAGTAATGCGTGGCACCAAAGCTCTCCCAGCCAGGCTGGGCCACCCTGCGCGGTGTGCTATATAAACGAATCGACAACAGTCCCAGACCCAAAAGAACTAAGACAAGACAAGAGCAACAAAAGAATCAGCAAGTTGCAGTAAATGCATGAGACAAAATCACAACGATGAGAGAATTTGGCCTTGATTTTCCCAAATAACAGGACACGCCAGAGTAAACGAGGAGAGAGTTTACCATGATCCTACACTTTGCTCATAGCACATGAAGCCCCAGCAATCTCCTGCTTTCCCATCTTGTTCATTTCCTGTATGCCCTTCTGTTCAATATACCCATCCCCTGGTCTCTGTGCTAGTCAAAAGGAATAAAATAAACTGGAAATGTACTACCGACATGCTCACCTGGTTTGTGGCCACACTGTTCCCACCAGATGCCTGCTAGGCCATTTGCTCAGTTGAAGAGAAACAGGGATTGATTCCTGTTCATTCATTCACCTCTTAAAGCCCACCCTTCATAATCCAGCTAACTCTTCCCCTTGAACAGTCATACAGAAGGAGATACTCACTTACCTGCATACCTTAATTCTGTAGATTAAAAAAGAAATCTAATCAGGAAGACAAACAATCATTATTAATTACAGCAGGTTACTTTGGATCACCCTGAACCGACGCAACTGTTCCATCTGCTCACTTCTTCACAGTATTAGTGGAGCTAAACGGCTGAAACGTTGTACCTTTTCTTCCAGCAGTTACACCAGCTCAACTCTATTCGCATTGGCATAGGAACGGACAGACAAAACACATCCATTCAGTGGATGCAGGTTACTAAGCAGTAAGTCATAGACCCCGACCCTTTTAAAATGCTCTCTTGGTATGTTTGTTCACAGCCCATATAAGCAGTGAACCAATGCATCTCAAAGCGAATAAACAGGTGCAGTGCAGCAGCTGAGGTCTAATCCTGTGAGGCGAAGGCAATGGGATGAGAGAACATTCACGATCGGGCCCTAAATGCGCGTCTAAGATAGGGTGAAGTTACGCGTTACACTTAGATCATATTAAATCTGTGAAACGTGAAGCAGTGGTAAAATTAAACCAGTCTATGAGCAGTTCCATGTTGAGGGTTATTCCTGTTTCTTGCCTTCACAGCTCTGACTTGCCACTAAGGGGGAGGGCAAGGGTGTGGGTAGGAGCCAAGATACCTGGGCTCTACCCCTGCTCTGGGTGTAGGGAGCCCTGGGAACAGTGCATTCTGGGATGCTGGAGGATTGCAGATTGCTCGTTTTATCTCTATGGAGCTGACCCTAACACGAGCTAGGTAGCCTTGCCCAGAGTTAACCCTCCCCTCAAGTGGCATAACTTTGAGATACTCAGAGGGCACTAAGCATGAGTTAATGAGCTTTCATGTGCAGATGTTTGCATTTTTAGTGCCCTTAGTATGGCCTAAGTGGGGAACTTCATCCTTCCTTACTTCTATTTCTGCAACTTAGAGAAAAGATCTGACTTCAGAGATGACTTGCAGTGATTCTGCTTTAGCTCAAAAGATGGAGACCAGGGTGTTCAGAGTGGAATGGCTAGGGATCGTGATCTCACAGGATCATTGGCTTTTCTGAAGCATTTACTAGGCCTTCCATCCTGGGGCAGCCACAGGCGCCCTTTCAGCTGTAGTCTGCTCAAGTGCTGTTTCCCAGCTGTAAATTTACATAATGAAAGCTACAGCTTAGCCTCACAGCTCAGGGCTATAATCAGTTCTGGGAACATACTTCCTGGAACTATCCCCTGGGCCCTCACACCACAAAGAGCAGAAAAAGACCATCCCCTGAAAAAGTTCCTCTACTAGTACCAACACAGCAGCTCCATCACCAAAAGCAGTGGCAGGAAAACCAGCAAAGACAAGCTGCTGGTAGTTGCTGGCATAGCTGCCAATGCAGTGCACAGACCTGCTCTGCACAGGGTTAGACAAGACAGCAGTTGAAGGCTCCCACCGACGGGAGGTCTCAGGAAAAGGTGCCAGGAGAAGGCACGTCCAAAACGTTCCCTGGCGAGAGAGAGGGATCATAACAACTGGAATACGACTATCAGCTTGGGATCTCTCCACTTGTTCCAGATGTTTAGGGTACTCTGCGGTGCCACACTCACTACGTAATAGATAATGAGGCCTTTGGTTATGGTAAGAATGTAGGCTGCTTGGGTGCGGCCCTTGCGGCTGATCATTTGGAGCTGGAGAGGACCCTGGGTTCACACACGAGGCACCCAATGTCCTCATTGATCTCAATGTCCTTACTGATCCCCATTCTCTGATGTGAAGGGGAAAAGTCCCACCCTTCTCACAAGTGGTCAGTAGGAGTGTGCGACTTAACCATGGCCCTATGGGCCAGGTTCAACAGGGGGCTCCACTGGAAAAGTGGATTAGCAGCCAGGAGGTGCTGGGTGGCTTGTGGAATTAGCAGTAGAATATGGAGCCTTTGCTTCCTAGGACACCAGTTTAAATCCTTCTCAGGACTGTGCTCTTTGCTGGCTGCGTGAAAAGTTTGGTAATTTCACATTTATTCCTTCCTAGCAGGCCCCCCACTTTGTTCTCCCACCTAAGATGCATGAACTTGGACACTCAACTCCCATCCTGTTTCCTTCAGGTCAGAGTTGATCCAGGAGAGACAGGCAGGGAAGGCTGCATAGCCACTACACTGGGCACTGGGTCAAAAGATGCCTGGCCTCCCAGACTATGAATCTGGCCCCTGCCAGGAGAGCTAGCAGCACCAGTGCTGGAGTCGACTTAATTAGACGAGTCCTGTGATTCCACAGAAGGTAAAGCTGATATTAAGGAGAGCAAGGATCCTTTGGACAAGCACCATATCCATAGCGCAGAAACCTGTCCCACTTCAGACTTAGTGGCTGCCACCATTCAGGGAACAAACCTTCCCAAGTTGAGAGCAGGCCCTTGAAAATCTCCACCCTGCCCTTGTATATCCAGTTCTGATGCAGCACAGACTTTCAGAGCATGGGCAGCCTTCTCAGCCCACATGACTCAGACCCACAGGATCTGAGATATGAACTTCTTGAGAAATGAACTTTGCTGACGGGCCCAGAACCTTCTGCCTTTTATGTAGGATGGCCCAGGGAGGTCTACAGACATTGTAAATTGAAAGTAGGATTCAGGCTGAGAACACAATGACATCATTCTTTGTAACCATCTGTTAACCATTCAACCCCAAAAACGGGTTACAGCAAGAAAATCACTTGCTTTGTCCTACTCATGCCATGGGCACAATACCCACCGGACAAAAGCTGCACTTTTCTCTTCAGCCCTGGAATTTACTCTTTGCAACAGGGAATACATTAATTCCAAAATGACACTTCTTTAATCACGCCCACAGAATATACGTTTATTAAAATAAACCGCTCTTATGCCTTCCGTCATCCAACAAAGGACTGGCAATGATATCATGGCAGAAACATGGTCGGCTGTTTGCACGGCAACTGCTGACTCAGAAAGTCTCCAAATGGAAGTCACCCTGCTACACTTATAGCTGCAGTTTTACAGAGAGGACAAACCCCTTGCAAAAGTGTTGGTGTAGCCTGACGCACTAGAAAAGAAAAGGACACCACATTCCCAAAAAGAAAGAGCAGCCCCTTCACTGGAGGACCAAAGCCGTGGAGTATGAAGCACTTGATGATACCCAAGATAAGACTATGGCTCTTCGTTTTGGGCAGCCAGGGCACAAACACAGCTTAAGGCAAGAACTACATGACACTTCAGAGCACCTTCTGCCTGAGCTTCTCAACTTGCTTTCAAGACTTGGATACGGTAAACCTCATATTATCCCTGCAAGGATCATTTTCACCAAACTGAGGCACAAAGGTTAAGTCCTCAATCCATGTTCACTCTGTGGACTGGGCAAATCTGTTAAGCCCTAGGTCTATGCGGCATGACTGGACCACACTCCAATTACTGTGATGGTCCTAAATTTACATCACAGCCTCACCATAAGTCTGGGTGAACTGACGGGCTGAACAGAAGTTAGACCGAGACAGACTTCAGCCATTCACTCCAGCGGCCACTATTGATCCTGGTCCTTGTGAGACAGACCTGGTGTAGCGGTGGGAGAGACCGGTGCTCCCAGAGTTGCAATGAGTGCCCAGCCGTTGAAGCCAACAGGGTTGACATATAACATGCAATGGGGCAACTGGGTTCTGCCACATCAGGTGCAAGGGGGCATCATGTCATCCCACTGTGTCACAAGGTGATAGTCTCAGGTACTGGGGGGGCACTGCAAGGCTGACGTATCAGGATGCACTGCTGCTCACACCATGGCAAGAGAAGTGACCTCGTGCCAGGGCGGCGCAGGAATTTGTGTCTCTGGGGAGAACAGCTACAAGTTGGCTCGCTGTGTAACTAGGGCTTTCCAGACCTCATTTTACTGCTCATTAACTGGGATTGATTGGGTGCCACAGGAATATCCACTCATGGCCAAGCAACAGGAACGCATTTACTTTTCCCTTTTCCTCTTTCAACTTAATGTAAAAAACATGGAGGCCAAATGCAGCTCTATAAATCTGACAGCTGACAAAGACATCCAGCTAAGCTTTCCAAACCAGGACAACCTCCCTGTGCTCCAGCCAGTGGCCAGCCCCATGCCTAAGCTAAGAGTAGCGCAGCCCCCCAGCTCTGGATTATTTTATTATGCCGGGTTTACCTACTGGCATGATAAGGACCACCCAAGCCCTGACTCTCAGCTCTATCCACAAGGGCCTTTTGCCAGGACGGGCTCTTAGTCTTGTCAGCAGGCCACGTGCATTTCTGCAGCACGCTTCAGAACGTGGCTGTTCTGTGAAACAAGGCTGCAGTATCCTAGTGTCTGTAATGCAAGAGCAACAGCTTCTGGGGGAAAAGT